GCCCGCTTCCGCCCGGCCGTGCCGCGACTACAGCGCCCTCAACGGGACGTCGGGCGTGATGACGTCACCCTTAAAGGGGCAGCGCCCTTGCCTCCGGACCTCCCCAAAACCGGCCCTTCTTGCTCCAAAACGGGCCCTTCCCGCCCCAAAACCCGCCCTTCTCACCCCAAATCTGGCTCTTCTTGCCCCAAAACCGGCCCTTCTTTCCCCAAAACTGCCCTTCTCACCCCAAACCCCCCTCCCAGCCCCAAAATCAGCCCTTCTTAGCCCAAAACTGGCCATTCCCACTCTAAAACCAGCCCTTCTGCCCCCAAAATCAGCCATTCCCGCCCCAAAGCTGGCCGTCCCCAACCCAAAACTGCCCTTCTCACCCCAAAACCAGCCGTTCTCACCCCCAAAACCCCCTTTCCCACCCCAAAACTGGCCCTTCTCACCCCAAAACCAGCCGTTTTCACCCCCAAAACCGCCCTTCTGATCCCAAAACCCCCTTTCCCACCCCAAAACTGGCCCTTTTCACCCCAAAACGGGCCCAACAACCCCGAGTCCAGTTGGGCTCAGCCTTCCAGGTTCCTCAGGTCCACCCAGGGGGAAATCACAGCTCCACACAGGTTTTACACACTGCAGGGATTTTACTTCAGCAAAAATGAGTGAAAAGGAGGGAAAAAAAAATCCTACATTTTCAGGCCAAATCCTATTTCTTGTCATATATCGAGGAAAGCAAGAAAAGCTCTTTCTGTTGAAGGTTAAGGGGTGTTCTTTTAGGATTCTCCCAGCTCTGAGTCTTTGTTTATTCCTCACATCCTCTGGGAGTGGAGTTACGGTGTAAGAGTAGAAAATTCCTGCGAGATCCATAAAATCATCGGGGGGGGGGGTTGAGGAAAGAGAGAAAAATTAAAACCCAGAGCCCTGCTGAGCTGAGCAACCCCCGGGCCGGCAGGTCTTGGCAGTCCCAGCCCCTCGTTCCAGCCGTTCCAGCCCCATCCCGGCGCTCCCTCGGGGCAGAGCTGAGCCCATGGATGGGCTGTCCCGGAGCACAGCGTTCCCTGGGAGCACAGCATTCCCGGGGAGCACAGCATTCCCTGGGCGCTGTCAGGACATTCCCCGCTCCGTCCCCACGTGTTTCCTGCGCCGGTGCCGGCGCTTCCTGGCGGGTGTGGCCTCCTGGGAGTTCTGGGAATTCTGGGGGTGGGGGAAAGAGAGTCCCTTGGGTGACACCCAACAGTTCCTGGGGGCCAGGCTGCACATCCTCCTCTGCTCTGGGGCCTCCTGCCCGTGTCCCAAATCCAGGGGCTGTGCCAGGGCCGTGGGGCTGGGCTGGTGCTTCCTCTTGGCACTGCCAGCATTCCTGGAAGGAAAAAATCAGGAATCAGCCCCACTCAACCCCAAAAAGGAGGGCTGTGAACCCCCTCTGGGCTTACCTGGTGCCTTTTCCTGAAAGGTGGGACATCCTGGGAGAACGCCCAGCTCAAAGGAAAGTGCAGTGAAAAAGGGAGAAAATGGGGGGGAACAGGGTGAAAGTGGGAGAAAATGGGAAAGAATGGGGCAGAAATGGGAAAAAAATAGGAAAAACAGTGTTAAAATTGGTGTAAAATGGTGTAAAATGAGTCTGTGGGGACACGTGGCCAGAACTCGCCAGTCCTGCTGGGCCTGGTATGGGGGGAAAACGGGAAAAATTGGGATAAAATGGGGTGAAAGGGAAAAAACTAGGTGAAAATGGGGGGGGAAATGGGACAAATTGACAAAAAACGGGAAAAAGCGGGGGGAAATGGGGGAAAAAATGAGAAAAAACAGGGTGAAATGGGGGAAAAAACAAAGGGAAAAGGGGAAAATGGGGCAAAACCAGGAAAAACTGGGAGGAAACAGGAAAAACAGGAAGAAATGGGGTGAAAATTGGGGGAGAAATGGAAAAAAACCTCTTGATTTCCCACAGCAAGTGAAGTTTTCAGCAGGGATCATTTTTCATGCCCCTCAGAGTGGGGCTGGACAAGCCCCTCAGAGGCCCCCTGGCTCCACACATGTCCCTGGAGTGGGTCTGGAGCTCCCACACAGGTGGGATTTGCCCCCCAGGACAAGGGGAAGCTCCTTCCCTGCTGAGCCCAGGAACAGGGAGAGGCCCCACTTCACTCTCAGGGAGGAGCTGCCTCACTTGCTGATCCAAAATCCTTTAAATGCCTCAGCAGGAGAACATTCCAGCCCCACTGAGAACCAGCTCCAGCCCTGGCAGTGATGTCACTCCACATCCACAGGCACAGGAATGTCACTCAGAGGCAGAGCTTTGCAGGCACAAGAACCTCACCACTGATACAATAATTTCAGAGAGGTTTTTTTCCCCCCTCAGAGCTGGGAAGGCAATGGGTGGGTCTCAGGAAAAGTCCAGTTCAGGGTGTTTAAACCTGAGGGAGCAGCTGCTGGCTGTGCCTGCTCAGCTCAGGGCACAGAGGGCAGGGACAAACACCTACCTGGGCACTGCCAGGGGGGGCTGGGCCGAGCGAGGAGGGGGGGCTTTGACCATCTGCTTTCTGGGGTTTGCTGGGGCACTGCTTTTTTCTCTGAAGGGGCCTGAGCCCAAACTCTTCAGTCCACACTTCCTTAAAGAGAATTCCGTGTGTTCCTGTGTCCACTGAGTGAGCACATCAGCTCCCACACCCAAACCCACCCCTTTGTGGCACTGCTCACCCGGAAAGGGAAGGGCCAAGGAAAGAAAGCAGAGTAAAGAAAAGGATCTTTAAAGCCATCACAGAGTCCCAGAATGGTTTGGGTTGGAAGGGATCTTAAGGCCCACCCAGTGCCACCCCCTGCCATGGGCAGGGACACCTTCCACTAGCCCAGGTTGCTCCAACCTGGCCTTGGGCACTTCCAGGGATCCAGGGGCAGCCCCAGCTTCTCTGGGAACTCCATCCCAGCCCCTCACCACCCTCCCAGGGAAGAATCCCTTCCCAATATCCCATCTAACCCCACCCTCTGTGAGTTTTAAACCATTCCCAATGTCCTGTTCTCCCTGCCCATTCTCCTGCCTTCCCCACTGGCCTGTCCCACCTCCCTTCCTGGAGCCATCCATGTTTATCCCCTGTTCCTTTCCAGCAGCATTCCCAGGGCCCATCACTCACTTCTGGACACACCAGGACTCACTTTTTCCCAGCTCTGTTCCTGAGATCCTGGATGTAGTTGGTTCTCTCTATGGGATGCCCTCGGGATTTGTTGAACACTGGAGAGGGACAGGTCTGAGCTACAACCTTTGGGGCTGAAGAGCAGTTAAAACCCTTCACAAGGATTTTAACCCCTTCAACCAAGCCCAGCCCCCCTCCCTGGGGCCACCCCAAACCTTCTGACCATCCCAAATCCCA